TGCTCATCAAATACCAGAAATAAAAGAAGACATCGACATTATTTTACTACTAGGTAGAAACTGCCTGGAGCCGTTGAAAGTAAGAGAATGTAGAAACGGTCCAAAAGGAGCACCATGGGCACAAAGAACCACTCTAGGTTGGACGATCTCGGGTCAAATTTGCAAGAGCGGCGCTGGCGGTAAAGTGTATGCTTCAGTTAACCGTACAGTTGTAGAACCCACCTGCCTTTATCAAAGTGATGGCATTTGTACAAACCACATTTATATCAAGGATAGACCACATATCACTACTACAAAGACCGACATCTACGTAGAAACCAAAGACGAATGCAAGATTGCAATGTCTATGGAAGATGAACGTTTCATACAGAAAATGCAGCTCGGCGCCCATACCAATGCCAATGGTAATTTAGAGTTTCCATTGCCTTTTAAAGAAGACGATGTTAACCTTCCAAACAATCGTTCTCAAGCTCAGTACCGACTAAAAAACTTACTTAAAACACTTAATAGAAAACCAGAAGCAATGGAAGAATATAAACAATTCATTTCAAAAATACTGTCCAGGAATCATGCATCACCAGTACCAGAAAGTGATATTAACCCTCTACCAGGAAAAGCCTGGTACCTACCTCATTTTCCTGTCCATCACCCAAAGAAAAATAGTCTACGGGTGGTATTCGACGGAAGTGCTGAGTTCAATGGCTGTTCTCTAAACAAGGCGCTGTTACGAGGACCTGAACACATGAACAGCCTCCTAGGAGTCTTACTAAGATTCAGAATTGGAAATATTGCAGTTATGGGTGACATAGAACAGATGTTCCATAACTTCTACGTTGACACACCCGATCGAAACTTCCTACATTTCCTCTGGTTTAAAGATAATGACACATCACAACCAATAGTTGAATATCGAATGAATGTCCACTTGTTTGGCAGTACTTCATCTCCTGCTGTTGCAACCTTTGGTTTGCGAATGATTGCAGACAACTGCAAAGATACGCATGGTGAAGACGTGGCAGAATTCATCCATCAAGATTTCTATGTCGACGATGGTATTACATCTAAACCTGATGTAGAATCTACAATTAGCCTTATTAAACGTAGCTGTGCTGCTTTAATGACGAAAAGGTTACGATTCCACAAGATAGTGTGCAATAGCATAGACGTACTTAAGGCTTTACCAGAAGAGGATATAAATAAAGACCTCAAGAGTGTCGAATTACATAAGGATGATCTACCAACCCAACGGACACTAGGAGTTCACTGGGATCTGGAGTCAGATACTCTTACCTTCCATGTAAGTCTTCCAAACAAACCATTCTCACGGCGGGGAGTACTTTCAGTCTCCAGTTCAATTTTTGACCCATTAGGTCTGGTAGCACCAGTCACCATCGAAGGAAAAATTATGCTGAGAGAGTTAATGAAAAATACTAAGCATGGTAACAAAACCTCCCAAAACTGTTGGGATTCCCCACTTCCTGAAAGATACCTCTCTAAATGGATTGGATGGAAAGACTCCTTATATGAACTACAAAATATACAACTCCCAAGATGTTACCAACCTCCCAACTTTGGTCCAATCAGACGAAGAGAAATTCATGTGTTCTCAGACGCTAGCGATGTAGCCATTGGAGCAGTAGCTTATCTACGACAGATAAACAAGGATGGCGAACCACATGTAGCCTTCCTCAAAGGTAAATCAAAACTGACACCAAAGCATGCAGTCTCCATACCACGGTTGGAACTCTGTGCTGCAGTGTTGGCAACAAATATAGTAGAGAACATCAAAGCAGAAATCGAAAATAGAATGCCGGTGGACAGCATCATGTACTACACAGACAGCAAAGTTGTCCTTGGTTATATTTCTAATGAATCAAAACGGTTTCATGTCTATGTTGCTAACAGAGTACACAGAATTCACAGTGTATCTGATCGAGCACAGTGGTGTCATATTGATACGGACCATAACCCTGCAGACATGGCCCTTAGATCTACTAGAGCGGACCGCCTCATGGATACTACGTGGTTCACAGGGCCAGACTTCCTATGGGAAACAAAACTTATAACAACAAACAGACAACTTACTTCAACAGTCAAGGAAATCGACGAAGGTGATCCAGAGGTTCGAAAGCAAATCAAAATCCTTAAAACAGATGCCCAAGCTCACACGCACTTTCAAAACAGATTCTGTCATTTTTCTAGATGGCTTGTCTTACGTAGAGCTATCGCTATCCTAATAACTAGGGCCAGACACCTTAAACCTGTCTCTTATACACATCTAGATGTGTATAAGAGACAGAGGACAAACCAACAGTTTGGATGAATTGCTACGTGGTTCTAGACGATCAGTCTAATACCTGTCTAGGTGATCCCAAATTATTCAATATGCTCGGGATCCATGGACCAAAGTATGAATACGAACTGTCTACTTGTGGAGGAAATAAGGTATTGATGAACGGCAGGAGAGCTAGTGGCCTCGTTTTAGAGTCCCAAACTGGACATAAAGAACATCTTCCTGTTATCATAGAGAATGAAAATATTCCGGGCGATAGAAATGAAATCCCAACACCAACTATAGCAAGCCAATTCAAGCATCTTAGAGATATTGCTCATCAAATACCAGAAATAAAAGAAGACATCGACATTATTTTACTACTAGGTAGAAACTGCCCGGAGCCGTTGAAAGTAAGAGAATGTAGAAACGGTCCAAAAGGAGCACCATGGGCACAAAGAACCACTCTAGGTTGGACGATCTCGGGTCAAATTTGCAAGAGCGGCGCTGGCGGTAAAGTGTATGCTTCAGTTAACCGTACAGTTGTAGAACCCACCTGCCTTTATCAAAGTGATGGCATTTGTACAAACCACATTTATATCAAGGATAGACCACATATC